AAATCTGACCTATAAAGTGAAAATTAAGCAATTTTGGAGTACAAGCGTACCTGAGAAACTATACTACACGTTCTTATTTCTCTACCAGTCACTTGCTCTCCTCTGTCGCTCTTGTGATAGTGGTTTCCTTCATCACAAAGTGTACCTTTTTATCCAAATTAGCTAAAATTTAAAAGTAAATAATTGCATAAATGGAAAGATGGCCTGTCAGATTCAAATGCTGGACTTGAATTACACGGACTTTTCAGTGTAAATAAAGGAGAAAGGGAGGGAAGGGAGGAAGCAGTACCACTGCCTTATGAGTCTAAGACATACATGCATTCCCAGGTCTAAAACAAAAGATGAAACATCTTAATTTAAGCTGCAAAGAATGAAAAGATATCATGACACACATTATAACATGGTGCAAGAAGAATTTCATATAGCAAATCAGTATTTTATCAAAAGGAACTTTTCCAAAGATCATTACACAAATCTCAGCAATTCGGACCCCGTATTACCACTGGGAAGATGGATACTTGACTATGTAGACTCAGTAAAGATAAACTAAAACCAGTATCACTTTTAGGAGCAAACTAAATGACATGCATAAATACCAAAGCAAACCTAAATTTTTAAAATGATCATTAAATAAAAGGGGACAATTAGAACACAGCAATAAATTACATGGATGGAAGCAACGGACTGGATTAAGCACGGAGGAATCTGGGCATACAGATAACATGAATCAATAAATTGGTGTTGCCATCTTAAAAGAGATCTAATATTGTTAACAGAGTAATGCAAATGACCCAAGAGCTAAGATAAGTATTTGAAGTTTCATATTTTACGACAGTCCAAGACACAGGGTCACAGTCATTCTAATCTTGCTTCTATATGCTAGCATATAGCAAGTGCCAAATGAAAGCGAAGTGACTAAATGAAGGTCACTAAATAAGAACCTGGAACCATTCAGTAGCTGGTGAACTCCAGAGCCAAACATAAACCTGAATTGAAAAAGATGTGCCATAGGCTAATTATCTGTCATGACCTTTAACCTTAAAATTTTGTGAGAAGTAATAATGAACAGTTCAGCTTCTAATGCAGTATATGTAACCTCAAATCAGAAAATCTCTTCTACCATAGTTTAAGGAAGGTTGAAATATTGACGCAATAAAGAAGTCACCACCTTTCCAGAGGGAAAATGGCAGCTTTTAAAATCTAGAAAGATGGAGATATTAAAAAATAGGTCCACTAGGAAAAAATGGGAGTTAAGATTACTTAATTGGAAAAGTGAAGGATGAGAGAAAGTGATAAGCTTTAACATATGAAACGCTATCGTGAGCCAATTTCTCGTTGCTAATAGTGTCAAATGTGAGGAGTCATATTGCCTTGACATTTTAATGAAGTTATCTGGGGAGTCCACTGTGCTTTTAAAATGTACTAGAATACTGTCATTCTACACGATAAACCACATTAGAATATTTAATGGGTTATCTTTAGTTAAAAAAAGAATGACATAGAGAGTAGGAAAAGATGAAGTTCTATTCACTTGGAACAAATTTAAAAAAGAGAGGAATCTGCCTACTACCAGTCTAGTTCCACATTTAAATGTTTTCCTTTATTCTTATTAATGGTACTTAAGCTTCAGTTTACTAATCAGTTCAGTAAATTAATGCTAAAGGCAGTAATTCTTAAACTTCAGTTTTAAGCTTTACATTTTAATAAGACTATTTTCTTTATGCACACCTAAAATGGGATGCTTTTGTATCTAAAGTCTTTAATCTTCATTTCTAAAAATATTATCATTCAACAAGGTAATAGGAATTGAGACAGAAATTGGGGAGTACTTTTTATTTTTAACCACAATACTAATATTGAAACTCTTTCCTAATGATAACCAGGAGTGGTTCCAACACAGTCTACAATAACTGTGTAAGTGGTAACTTTAGCTCTTAAAGAAAAACTCTAATTAGATACAAAGCAAAGTCTTATTATATAAAGTTCCCTTTTCTTTTCTAACAAGATCAGAGTAGCTAGATCACTACCTGCCTGGGAGAACAGAAATAACAAAGTGACAGTTAAATATTACTAGGAACTGAGAAGACACCTGGCTTCTACTATTCTTAGAATAGATTTATCACTTCTTTAAGAATAACCTTTATGTTAAAAATTAGTGAGAAGCTTTTTAAATAAATGCACTTAGTATATAGTCCTTTAAGAATATTAGCATTTTAACAGAAGTATTATTCAATGACAATGAAACTGTATCTTCCTTAGGAAAAAGAAACTAAACACTATACAATGAAAACAATGACTGGAAATCTTAAATGATCTTCTGTTATCGGGAGAGTCAATTTAATTTAATGATTTAATTTTCCCACAGATTTAAACGATCACTATTACTTCCATACCAAAAAAGGTATATAATTTGGGGTAAAGAGTAAATGTATGAGGGTTATGAAGTTTTTCCTACTCACTTCTCATTTTCAAGATGTAATGATTGATCTAATAGAGATTTTAATTTTCAAAATTACAAGAAATATACAAGAAATCTATGTTAAATAACAACAGTGGACCTTGAAGGCATAAGCTTTTGTCACTTTATTGTTAACCAATGAATGTTATCCAAAATTATAGATGTAACTGTAACTTAATTGTACACACAAAATTATGCTAATGGTAAAAGCCTCCTGCAATTTATCAAATATTCATTAATATATTTTTACATTGCTATATGAACATGTGCTCCCAACTGCTAATAATAAAAGTTGTAATTGGTTTAATGAAAACTCATATTGCAAATAGTTGTTCCTGTTTAGAAAAATTCACACAGCTTTAAAAATGGATTAAATCCATTTTATTCCTAATCTACAAATAGACTATAAACAGCAAATATAACTGGTAATTTTTCAACACTGCTATCAAACTGATGTAGCAATGGTAGTGCACACAATTCAAAATGAAGAAAATTAATAAGAATCCAATGGAAATCCAAGTTTTCACTTATTATGGCAACTGCTTTAGTGCTTTGGAAGAGGGAACAGATGCTTTAAACCATGGCGACAGCAGGTCACCGTCTATTCCTCCAGCGTGCTACAAGCAGAACTGGCCTCTTCCAGAGTGTGTTGAAGTGTGTGCACAACCACCACACAGCAGTCAGCTCAAGGTTAACCAGTTATCTTTTGTCCTCCTAAGTCCAAAAAATATATTAAATGCAACCTTTCCTTTTCATAATGTCTGCCCAGATTAATCCTTTTGAAGTCAGCAAAATCAAAAAAGCACAAGAGATATTTTCAGACACAACCTGAATCTACTGTGCATGAAAAATGTCTAACAAAATGGCCATTTTAATAGATAAATGTAAATTTGAATGCATAATACCAAATGGAAAGTAGCTGAACCACACAGAGAAAACAAGGCTTTCCTTATCTCCAAACCTAGATGTTTTATAATAAAGAAATATTAGAATACGTGAATATTGAACATCTTTCAAACTGGAAAGATTTCTTTGTAAAACATAACCAAAATTAATATAATCTAAAATAGAACTAACAAACCAAATTTAAGTATTTTTAGAGGTTGAAAAAAGCAAGCACAATGATTTAGAAACCAAATATGCTAAAATGATTATGTAATAATTACATCAAGAAATGAAGGTACAGACATTCTTCATTTGCTGCAAGGGCAATCACACACACACACACACACACACACACACACACACACACACACACACACTCACTCTCTCTCTCCCCCGCCTTTCTCAGACTTGCAACACCCCTCCAGGAAGATAATATACCAGTGAGAGCTTACAACTGTAATACAAATCAGAGTCCCACAATTCGACTCAACAAAAAGGCAGTGAAAATTCAGCACTCAAAAGATATTCCAGGGGAGAAAAAAAAGGAAATCTCAAAAATAATCCTTCATGATTGGAAGCATCACTGTATGTTGTAAAACACACAGCATACATGTTTCACTGTGTGTGAACAGCCAGCCTTCGCGGTGCAGCAGTGAGGTAGTGTTACTGTCCCCTCGCTGGGACTGATGTTTTCATGCGCTGCCCTTCCAGAAAGGTCCAGGGTGTTTTTAATGATGATCAATTACCAACAAACATGTATTTCCTTTTATTAAGCTTCTGTTTTTCTAACTCAATCTATGAAAGAATGAGACTTCAAAAATCCTTCAGAGACAACTGTGATTTGTGGGTAGTTTTTCATCAATAGATTCTCCTAGGGAACTACTTAGTACCTGCTGTCTATACCTTTGTGAAATTGGCAGGCGAACAAAACCAATGACAGGATATGAAACACCAATCAATTCAGCTGTCAAAGATGACTGTAATTAAGTAAGCAAATATCAAACATCCAATAATGTAATTAAATCGGGATTTAAAAAAAATTAGCCACCAGTGGTATCCTACACTATTAAACTGTCTAATCCTTTTCATGATTCACAGCCATCTTCTACACCGTGATCAAACACTGCCCACGTGGCCACCTATGCTCATTTTAATCACCGCCAGTGACCTGTATGGTGACAGAACGATGGCAGTGGGGCGCGTCAAGGTGTGAGAAGGGCATACTGAGCGAATGTGGATGTACATGCAGGTAAAGTGTGGAAGGAGAAGGGAAAACAGAGTGCCCTACCTAAACACTCATTAAGTCACCATCATCCGTTAAAATGTACAAAGTGCTTAAATCACACACACATTTGTCATACATGATAATTAGTGTTCATCTTCAACAGAAAAAAAAATGGAAAAATGAAAAATGTGAAAAAGAAGGCAATGGAACACTGGTCTCCATTCCCTGGCCCAAAAGAAAAAGAGAACCAAGCATGATACTACACTGCCTTAATGCTGAGCAGCGCCCCTGAAAGGTCGTTCGGCCACCACGGTCGGCTGGTGTAAGTGCTTTGGCAAGGTGGGATGCACTCCATCACATCTGCAAAGGCCTGCTTTTCTCTGTTGGTGGTTCAGCTTATGAAGAACACGTATGCAAAATAACAGCTCTCACATTGCTTCAAACTCATCAATACGTTGCTTTGTGTTGCCTTGTCGAATCTGCCGCAGAGTCTTGTACTTGTCACGGCCGGCTTTAACATTCTCGGCGTGAAGAACGTCATTCTGCGTTTTCTTGGTTTCATCTCTGGCTTGGGCTAATTCTGAACTTAATGCCTAGGTTTAAAAACAAAAAGTATGACTTACTATTTTTTTTAAGATTTTTTAAAATGCATGAAAAAGGTTTAAAGACAAAAATACATATATAACAAATCTCTGACTTTTTAGTATCTTAAAATTTCCACTGTGAAATCTTTTTCTTCAAAGTGTGTAAGTCCGTTTTACTCTCAGTAATGGCAGAAGTGGTGGTTAGAGAGGAATGCCCATGGCCTCTCATTTCTGCACTTAACCACGATGATTTTGTGTATTATTCTAAATTTCCTTAACTTTCTTATCTAATACTTGAAATGGCTTACAAAAGGTTCGATGTAGCCATTACAGAATGTTACTCTAAGATCTAAAATCTGTATCGTGAGAGAAACTGTCTCCATAAGTCTTAGTGTATTTATTACCACCGTCACCTCATTTTCTCTTGTTAATATTTAAAAATTTCACCAATTTAAAAATTAGAAAACTTACCTGAAAAGGGGGTCTAGTAACATTAAAATTAACCATTTTGATCCTATTAGATACATTTAATAAACTGACCTTTTGCTATGATAAAATCTGAAAAAATTCAGACATGTCAGACAGGTAGTCTACTAAATTATCATTGCTTTTTTTTAAGATAGACTGTTTAAAAACTAAATTCATTTTTTAAAACACAGCATTAAAATATGTTCTACTTTTTAATATGTGTCCAGCTATAATTAAATAATAACTTACTAATTAGGGCCTCGTTATACAAGGCTAAAACATTCGGTAGCGGGGTCATACAATGGAAAAAATGAAATGATGTGACTGTGAGCCAAGCACTTAAAAACGAATCACAAGGCCAGCTAGAGTTAAAGGCTTCCAAAAATCAAATGTTCCTTTTTAATAAGTTTACCTTAACAAATGGGGAAAATGCAAGCTATAGTTAAACATGCACACAAGTGCAAATTTTAAATACCTGAAGTTGCTTTTTAACACGCTCATTTTTCTGTGTTTCTGTTACACGTTCCTCCTCACTTCTGTGGTTCATCACCCCGTCGCTGGACAGCTCAGCACTGGCCTCGGCATTATTCTCATCATGTTCATCATGCTCGTTTTCTGTCGGAGGAATGACAGGTGGTGGCGGAGGGGGAGGAGGGGCAGACATCACAGTCTTTAATTCTTCTTTGGTCTTTTCCAAATCCTCCTGGGCTGCAAAAGCCTGAATGTAAAAAATAAGCTTATCAGCAACTTAATTTGAAAACTGGTAATTAAAAGAGACAAGTTAACCTTTCCTTCTAATATAAACTACACTTTAGGGTAATGAAAACAGGCCCTACTGATAAATGCTTATTTTTAAATAAGAATTCCAACAGATGGGAGTGATAGAATTAAAAGTATCACTTTGCAAACCCTAATAAAATTATTAATTCTGGCAAAGATTATCAATTGTTGTACAAATGGTTGATGAGAAATGGTATAATGTCAAAGAACTCCGCACTAAATAGGTTACATTATAGCCACAAGAAAATATAAACAGACAATGGGAGAAATAAAATGTCACCGATCCAATTAAGTGTCTTCTGATATAATGCAGCGTAAGCATCCAACATCACCAGTTACTGGAGGAATTATATTGCACTGGTTTGCCTAAAGAAGTCCTGCTTTCCACTACTGTCCTGGTGTAATGATTAGCAACACTCTTGCACTCTCAAAAGTGTTCTAGTTTGGACCATAACCTGTGTGAAAGTCTCACCTATAAGAGGTATCACAGCCAGAAACTTTTAACTTGAATCCTTCCAGCTTATGAGAAATACTGATGATAAAAGGACAGGCTGAACGACACCATAAAGAAACAACGAGACAGATACAGGAGGAGGGACAGCCTGCAGGTCTTTTCAATAAACCAGTATCATAGAAAGAACTGTCCTACTCGGAAGAGACTTAGAGCACACGGGTGCAATCCAAGTCCTACTTCACACACTGGCCTAGCAAATCAGTTGTAGAAGACTTTTTGGCTCAATTCTGAGTACAGTCAACCCAGACATAGATGTGCTGTGTACTTTTATCCTTCCAGTACTCATTCAGTTCCCTCTCTGTCGGAAATGACTACCTCTTTAGTCCCAATCTTCTCTACCTCAAAATTAACTGTGTTATTCAAGAGCCAGCTTAAACTTTTATCTGCCTCATTCCTACAGAAATTACAACATTTCTTCTGTGTTCCCAAAGTACTCTGCTTACATCAATACATTAACATTTACTGCAATATGCACATATTTGTGCACAGAGGTATCTTTTCTCCTCTAAATCGTGATAGTATCTTATATTCATCTCCAAGTTCAGCATACTGCTGGGTACAAAATACATGTTCAATAAACGCTAGTGAATGAACAAATCTTTACTTTATGTTGCCACTCAGAAGCTTCCTCCTCCTTTTTCTTCTTGGCTTCTTCTAGAAGTGCAATCTTGGCAGTGAATTCGGCAAGTTCTGCTGCCTAAAAGAAACAACACAATCAACAATACTAAAAAATGTTGTATTTTCAATAATTTATATTAAGTCAACAAAGCTTTTAATGTACATGGACTGTTTCATATGTTTTCCACAGTCATCCATTTTAAAAAAGGAAGTATTTCTTTAAGATCATAAATATCTTATTGGTATTAGGTGTGATGAGTTAATAAGGAGACAAAGTGAAAATTTTTTTTATTATTCTACAGAAACATAGTTATTCCTGTTTCAGTAGCAAGAACTTAAAATGTACCAACCTAGGAGCTATTTTTAAACTTTCATCAATAAAAGTATTTGATAAAGCCTACAGAAGGAAAAATAAAAACTCTTTACCTAATGCTTTATAAACTGCACTTTGTCAAATAATCTCATTTGATTTCCCAACAATCCTATTAGGTGGTATTATTCCTTTTTCAAAGGGAGGATTCTTATCTGCAAGCCCACTACACAAACGAAAAACTCAGTCAGTTCTGACCTGTCTTACAGTTACTCTATGGTGATTTTACAGGATATATGGACTATCGATTTATCTAAAGCAAAGCACACCAGTGGCTTATGCAAAGTCCAAGGGAATCAGAATTTTTTATTGGTAATGGGCTTCATTCATCTTTTATCATTTTATTTTTAGATTTCTTTTTGAAGGCAGAAATGAAAACTTTAGGCTTATTTCCACACTGTTCATTAAGTTACTTTGTATCTCTGGTTTGCTTTCCAGAAAGTATATTTAGCTTTATAAAGTTTTGTTTTAGTTTCCATCATCTGAACTTATTAGTACTCATTAGCAAATAAAACTTCACTGTTAATTTTGGATGCATTACAACATACTCTTGTAGTGGCTGCACAATGGTGATCATTTATTTACTAAATTAAATACTGCAACCTCTGTACTGTCAATTTTTTACACTGGTACTTATTTCCTTCATGCTGGTGGATGGCTCCTCTCTCTGAATATATAAAAAGTCCATGGTTTTATTATTCCTTTGTTATTCTGTTTATTGCTTTAAAATACATTCCAATAGGTGGGGAGGGTATAGCTCAGTGGTAGAGCACATGCTTAGCATGTAGGAGGTCGTGGGTTTGATCCCCAGCACCCTCCAGTTAAATAAAAAAATAATAATCTATAAAGAAATCCAATTACCTGCTCCCACTAAAAAAAAAAACAAAAAAACACACACAACAAACAGAAACAAATAAAATATATTCCAATAAAAAGATTTAACTTCCTTGCAGTGAGTGCACACACACCACAGCGAGGAGAGTTAAAAACATAATTATTTAACACCTTCGTGTTCAGGGAATGAACAGTCTGAAATCGTGGGACCGATTATGTCTACGCTTCTGTCTAGACTTTTCTTTTTCCCTGAGACAGAACCCCAGCTCCTTACTAGTTGCTCCTGGTTCTTCATCTGGTCAGCTGCCTGTTTCGCTAGAGCGGACTTGGCCTCTTCGGCCGCCCGGCGCTCCTTTTCCAGCCTCTCTGCTTCTTCCTTCGCTCGTTTCCGTTCCTGGTCCAGTTCCAGAGCTTTTCGAGTCTGTTCTTCTAGTTCTGTCAAATATACGTATTCCCCCCAAACAAGGATCAAGTTCCAACGTTCTCATTATCAAAGGGAGCCAAAATAGTAGCAAGGAATCTGATCTGCACAGTTGGTAACAACTAGCACGTCTGCAAACGAATACATACCTCATTTTCAACTTGGCAAAAGCCTGATTATTTTCAAAAACTCTATTACACAATTCAAAAACGCAAAGAAATTCTTTGTAATTCAAGTTATGTCATAAAGCTAGAAGCACATCTTTTATTTCATTTTTTTAAAATATAATCGCTCCTGTTTTGGCCATCTGTTTCAAAAATCTATAAAATAACACATTTTAAAACTTGTATAAGTTTTTACTTATCTCAACTAAGGATTATGTAAGTAACCCCAAGACACTAAAATTGAAAACAATACTTACTCAGGAGTTTTGATGTGAATTATATGAATTACTGAAAATTGAGTTACTAGTACATATCCATTCCTCAAGTATGAAAACAAGTGATATTTGAAGATGAATGATATGAATTTTAATCCTTGAGTGTACAGATCATAAAGCTAATTCTCGTCTTACTCGAATGAGTTGAATGAGAAAAGAAGATATTACTAGCACAAAGTCAAAAGATTTTAATCAATTTAAAAGTTCTACTTTTAAATATTGTTCTGACAATCCTTGTTTAACAGTAAGGACATCTTGTGACAGAAGACAACAAATGTCATTTATTAAAGCGGGTGCAACGTCCTACAAAGAATGACTCTACCTTTCTGTATGTTTTAGAAAAGAGGAAAAACTGAAAAGCTGTCAAAAGATCTGTAGTATGGTAATGTACAAACCACATTACTGTTCTTAATTTTGTTGTTCTCACGCAGAACTAATTTAACTGCAGTGAAGATTCAGGCGGTTTTGAGAGGGTTGGGAAGGAAAATGACTTTAAATTCTTAATAAAATGTAAAAAAAATTCTATTTGGCTATAAAGAGGAGAGGTATGTAACGCTGGATGTTACCACAGCTAAATTCTGGGATTATTCATTTCCGTATTTATCTTCTGAAACTTGGACATCAGACCTAGCTTATCAGGCTTAATGGAGCATTCTTTCCATCTGGTTGGCTGATACATAAGATAAAGCCTGCAAAGCTCATGGCTTTATCCTTCTTCTAAACAAGCAAACAAGTAACTAAGGGAAGTTTACAAATGAAAACAGTGCTTTATTTTCTCTGATAATAAAAATTCTTTCTGTACTGTGAGACGATAAAGAAAAATAAGTTAGGGTGACAAAGTTAAATTTTAAAATAAATATTCCCCAATATTCATTATTTTCTATCTTTTTGTGTGTGTGTGTGCTAAGTATCCATTTGAAGAATAGTAGACCGAGCAATGGTTGTTTTGTGGTATACTAAGAATTATACAAAAGTCTAATTTTAAAAAAAAATGTTGACAATGAACTGTAAACTTCAAACCTAGTTTCTTCTAGAAAGGAAGGTTCTGAAGTGCCATCTATCCCATAATGATGCTCTTTCTTTCCTCTTCAGATAACTCAGATTGGTAAGGTGCAGCCTGCTGACTGGCCCCAGCACAAGGACCTACTTGCATTGATGAAGGTTTACCAGGACGCATGCCCCGTCCGCGCAGGCCCTGTGCAGGGCTGCTCTCACACCGCGGCGGCCGACCTGACGGCTGCTAGAGACCACGTGGCCTGCCACGCCTGAGATATTCACTGTCTAGTCCTTTACAGAAGAACCCATGAATGAGAGTTTTCCCATGAAACACACATCCCTCCAGACCTTGGATCCAGTTACAGCCCCCTGAGGAGGAGTAGGTGAGAAAGGTGAGTAATATGTTTTACCTATTTGGGTCATAAAAATTTGGAGCCCACAATTTCCGAGGTCTGGCATGTGGAAAGAGGGTACCAAGGAACCTGGCTTCTTTTAGAACATCAGCTCTTTCAGGGGGAGGGCAACAGCTCTGTGGTAGAGCACACACTTAGCATGTACAAGGTCCTGGGTTCAATCCCCAGTACCTCCAGCTTAAAAAAAAAAAAAAAGACTGATTAAATTGTTTTTTAAAAAAAGTTAAAAAAAAAAAACCCCACTCTTTCAGGACTAAGGTGAAAGGTTACTAGAATAAATTGTTTCTCGCAATAGTACACTGATGTAGGTGGTTACGGAATTTAATTAGGAGAAGACTAGAGAAGTTATGCTAAGTTCAAGTTAATAAAATTGTGTGGTATGTGAATTATATCTCAACGAAGCTATTAGGAAAAAAATACGTTAAGACTAAATTTTATGATGATACAAATCAGAATGATGTAAGTCACACGGGGGATAAAAAAATGACTGGGAAGGGACACAAGGGGATTCCCTGAATGCAGGTCATGTTCTGTCTTGTTCTGGGTAGTCAGAAACGTAAATTCACTTTCTAAAAATTCACTGAGCCTTATAGCTAAGAGATATGCACATTACTATTTATATATATATACAAAATAAATTTTTAATATAACTTTAAATTTCAAAAAAATCTCAGAAAGCTAAACTAGGCATTATTTACTTCCATTTCAGAAATTGGGAGCCTAAGGAAATCTAGAGGCTAAATGATTTCTTATGGTCAAATTCTCACTTAATGACAGAATTAAAGTTGGCTCCTAATGTGTATCTAAAGTGGAAAGCCCCTCCTGCTCACAATCACTACATTTATCACATTATCTTGCTTACTTCCTTCAATGCACTTAAAACTACATAAAATGATTTTCATTATGTTAATTTTATTATTCTGTCTTTCCTCAGTAAAATGTAAGCTACATGACAGCAGAGACCTTATCTGTTCAGCACTGTATCCCCAACACCCAGAACAGTGCCTAGTGCAGCACTAGGGGGACTTAACTAAGTACTAGGGCTTCCTACGTACCAGGGAAGAATGACATCACTACTCCCCAGCTCTTCCCTGAAGGTAGAAATTCACTCTATTTGTCGAAACAGTAACTTAATGCAAGTTTGGCTGTATTATATCTCACATATAGTCAACAATATATGTTAAAAAATGGTTAAGAGAATGATAAAGCCAATTTAACAAGAATGAATTATGGGAATGTAAAAAGTTGGAATGGTTCTATTTAATGATTTATGACTCATTTCAATTAATAATGACTTCAATAAAAAATTCTTTTCAAGAAAATGACAATAATGAAGTATAAAAGTTTCTTCTCAAAAAAATTTTAAGTTTATCTACTAAGTATCATGACTTACATATGGCCAGAGGCACTGCATCTGAATGAGAAACTTAGCATAAATTACAAGACAATCATGCAGAGTTTAGGACGGCTTGGAAAAGCTTTATTATTAGGAAAACAATACAAAAAAACTGGGTGTCCTTTGCCTCAGGATGACTCATCTGGAACTGTCTTGACAGGGACGATCTATGTTCTTTCTTACATTCTATCTTCCTCATAATCCTTAGTGCTTCTTTACTTGAGTACTTTTCTGTATGTAAATCATTAATATTTTTATTATACATCCTAAATAAATGAGATTGAAAGGTTTAGTAAATAGCTCTTCTTAGGAAAGAAACCATGCAAATGGAGGGCTATCATTCAACTTCTCTTTAAAATCAGGTATCATAAATTTCTTTAAACTTTCATTTTTTTGAAAAATTCACTTTAGTAGATTCCAAATTTTTTCCCAGCATTCTTCCTCTAATGGTGTTGCTTACACCCTTCACGTGGCGCCCAGGATGTGTCACCTCACTTTCATGTATACATCTCACTTCTGCCAACCACACAGGCTTTGCTCCCATGCATGCGACGTATTGGGAAACATTACGGCCTGTGAGCGAGTCTCTTTGCTACCTCTGGGCTTTGAACTAAGTAATTTCTAGCTCCAAGAAGTGAGGCTTCTAATGAGTTAGAATACAATCCAGGTTTTTTCTGTCTCTTCTCTTAGAAATACTATTTCCACTCATCTTGCAATTGGAATGATGAGCCAGATTGTGGATTTATAACAACTTCTATCACTGCCTTCTCTAGCTACTCATTTGCTAATTACTCCACCACTGCTCAGGAGCATCTTCTTACAATGGTAGCTGGTGCAAGAATGAAAATAGACCTCAGACAAGACTACTGGCTATTTCCAACAGAACTGAATGGCCGGCTGTACTAGTGGCCAGGAAAGCAGGCTCTAATTCTGGTTTTATAAACAGGGTGCACTTCATGTTATCCTCTAGACCCTACTGCTTATTAAGAAGGAGCAAAACACCTTATTTTGCTCAAAATCTTTTTTCTTTTGTTCTCCTCACTATTTGTTGTTTGAAAGTAGAATACTCTAGTGTTACTTCATATAAACCACTCTCTCTAAATCAATGCATCCTTTCAACATATACACTGTAGCACTTTGGTTACATAGTCCTGGGAAGTAGGATCTTCCAAACCTATTACCAAAACCAAAATTTGCGTGTTGTGCGTTTTTTTTAATCTACTAAAACTAAGGTTAGAAACTGAGTTCCAGAAGAGTGTAGTCAGAATAGCTTAAAATGCCTTAAATTACTGAGATGCCTTAAAGTACTTAAATATCCATTAAAAGCTTTTGTTTAAATGCCAGAGAGCACTCACTGAAAATGTGTTTTTGTTTATGAAACCCTGAATAGTAACAGGAATAGATATATAGTCATTTATAGTAAGAATACACAAAAAATTTTAGTGTTTAAATAAATGAAAGAGGAAGAATATGAGCATTGTCTAGCTGAATGTGCCTTAAACATGTTTATGATGTAATTCCACTAAGTATTAATTTGGCAATTAAACGTAATTATTCCATATAAGACAAATACGATTTAACAGTAGTGAGAAATACTGTTATCTGATAACAGAACAACAGTTTGGATCCAATGTTAAAAAGAAACTTTTACCTTTCTGGGCTTTCATTGTTTGTTCTTCAATTTGCCTCAGACGTTCCATTAGCTCTTCCTTTTCACGTTCTATTCTTTCCTTTTCCTTTTCTGCTATTTCTCTTTTCTTCTTTTCATTCTCTAATTGCGCCCTTGAAACAAATTGCAACTGCACTGTTACAAATTAATATATGAAAATATTCACGTGGAGCCTAAATACTGTGAATCAACTAAGAAGAAACTACAGCATAAAACATTTTCCCACACTGTATTCAGATGCGTTAAAAAAAAATAAGAAAATAGGGCTACACCTTTACACACACAAACACAGGATTATAATGAATTTCTTATCGTGAGATCACAGTAAGTAAAGTCAATGACTATCTAAAAGAGCTCTGACGACAACTGCATGTCAGCACAAAATAAGTTAACTGCACAGCTGCCACACCCAAGATCAGCAGGAGCCTTCCACTGGGGGACACGGCAAAGGACTGATGGGTGTACACAAGGCTGTTTCACTTGAAACAGCTAAATATCCTGGAAGGGCAACAATCAGCAATCATTAACAATTAACTAATATAAGTTTAATTTCTAGGATAGCAGCAACTTACACTTAGATACAAGATGACAAATTAGTGTTACCTTCTTTGACATAGATGATGGCACGTATTCTAACGCTATTTAAAAAGATCACCCTGCGAGCCTGGAGGGAAAGAGCGCTTCTGTCATTCACCTGCATCTGCCATGGGCCTAATGAGACTTTTTAAAAAATACAGCCAAATTCATTCATCAAACAGTCACCCAGGGCCTACTGTGGGTCAGACTCTATGCTGAGGGCCAGAAGTATAATGATGAGTAAGAGTTATATGAGATATCATGTTAATTATTAGATAATACTGCCTACTGGAGACACTTTTTAGTTAAAAAAATCAATTATGACTTCATCTCTAAAACTTACCTGGATATGCCTAAATATTCCCCAAAAAATCACTGCCATCTCATGTCAATTCTGAATTTCAGGCCCAAACCATGTGCTTTCTCAACTTGCAGTCTCTGATAAGCTTACTAGCTAAGTTTTATTATCAAAGTTTGTTTTTCCTTACTCAATAAACCTTAATTTAAAAATTCCTGCAGCTCCTAGTACCCATCTGCCTCCAACACAAAAAGAGCATCCAGTTGTGCAGCAAACAGGTAAAGTCATGACAAGTCAGCAAGACAGACAACTGACAGTGACCTCCTGGTGCTCATGAGGGTGACCCCCCACTGGTTTTAATGAATCCTGACGGCATCTAATCATCCAGGGCCTGGACTTCATTCACATGAGGGGAGCCCCACCTCTGTTCTGGAGTTCCCTACAAAGTGTGGTACTTCCGTAACAGTCAGAAGTAAGCGTCAACAACTAAGCCTTCTCCCCTGCAAGATCTGGAGCTCGCTCTGCAGCACATTCACCTCTTTCTTCCTATCCAAGTCAATCCACGGAGTATACACAGGCAAGAGACTTAAGGATTTGAGAGCCCCCACCACTCTGGAAGATCAAGGTGACAGAGGCTTAGAAATGTTTGTGTCTCCCAATTTCCTTGAGCAAGACAAGGACCCGGTGGCCCCCACAGAGGCTGCTGCCCTCTCTTGTGTTCTTTAGAAAGCCAAAGAGGCAGGCTGTCTGTGGGAGTACAGCACTTTTCAAGTGACTGCTAGTATGGTCAGACCTACTCTTTCCCATGCCAGGCTGCCTGCCACCCTCAGAGGTTGAACAGCCTACCCTGGTCACTTCCCGGTCTCTGCTCAGTCACATACAGCGCTGCCACAGCTCTCCAAGACAGTGATCTCCCTCCTTGAGGCCCCTGAGACACTTCATGAGGGCTTATACCACAAACCAGGTCTCAAGAGTGAAGGCCACGGCAATACAGAACCTTCCAGGTCCAGCTCTGGGGCCGGGCACTGGTGTCACTCAGCTCTTCCCTATTGATGTCTCATTTGTTCTTCCTCAAGGACGGAGAGAAAGGAAATAAGGAAGCAAGAAAAAAGACTGAAGGTAACAATAGGCAAATTGGGGGGAAAAATTTAGTCTTTGGACTAGAAAACAGAATAAATGTATGACGGATATTTAACTTGATTATGACATTTACACCATTTTTGCAAGGTTTACTTTGGGCTGCAATCTTGAAGGCTTGTGCCTCGTATCTTTTAAGAGCTCTCCCCTGACTACAGCCATCACCAACTAACACCCCACTCAGTTAATACAAACGCCTTAGGCTCTCCACATTCCCATGGTGATACCCGTTTTTGCAGGTCTGTCTTGTCTCCCTTATGAAACTGAGAAAGCTTGCTTCTCCCCTGAACACTCGCTTGGGAGGACGAACCTGGTCCGCTCGCCAGCCCCGAGGCATGCTGTGCATTTTCTTATCAAAGCCTCGTGGGATTACTCTAAACCAAGATGTAACTATTTTTAGAGTATGGATTTGGAAACACAGGTCTGACCAAGTTGTTCTATTTTAAGAATGTAAATAACATATTAATTATCAATTCTCTATACTAACATGCAAAAATTATAATATTTAAGAATACTTTTTAATGGATATCAGATGGGCCCAATTACATTTTTAAGTGAAAATTAAAAACTAACATAATTCAACTTCTATTCAGACTATGTATTCATAATACAAAGAATCACTGTAACAGCTCCTATTTATCAAGCACCGGGTATTTTGCTAAATGTCTGTATACTGACGTCATTCCTCACAACAAGCCTTGAAAGTAGGACTATTATTTTCAAAGTAAAGGCGAGAGAACACTGGCTCAGAAGCTATCTGCTCAACAAACATCAGAAAAGGATTCAAACCCCCATTTATCTAACTCCAAACCTGTATTCTTTGTATGACACCAGCTGAGTCCTAGTGACACAAGCAGCCAGCCATGATACAGAGTACCCCGCAGCTGCCCTCCAGCTGGCACGCAGGTATCTGACTCTAAAATGCGAACTCAGAGCACACATGGTGTATGTCACTTTCACTGTTTAAAAAAAAAAGTCGTAAGAGTTGTGAGGCGAGAATACGGCCACACATGCCAAGGTGTTGTCGGGAAAGGGGCTTCCTTGCTGCCCCTTCCCAACGACTCCCCTGGCCCGGGAGAGCGCGGCAGCAGGGCGGCACACCCCCGAGCAGCCCCCAAGTGCGCCTGCTGGCTGCCTTGCTTCTACATACACAGCCATCATTTCTCTCTCTCTGACCTGTAAAGCAGGGAGTAAGTGAAGGGCTGGCATGCCATTTCTGAGACTGCCAGTCCCTATGTGACTGGACTAATATAAAACATCCTCTAGGCACTCAAATGAATTAAACAGTTACTGAATTCCTCCTGTGTACAAAGCAGTCAATAAACGCTTGCTAATGAAAGGTTGGGACCTTTCACGGAATCCAAGAAAGGAATCATGGGGTTGTTACTGGGGGGGAGGGCGGGTGAGAAAGATACTTAAAATATTCCACTTTCATCAAGGCCTCACAGAAACTAAAATACAGTCCCCGCCCCAAATGGTATTTATTACTCACACCGCATGTACCAGAAGCCACACAGCACTCCTCACTATGTGCGAGAAATAAAGCACAAACCAGACAAATGTATTTAAGAATGAAAATAATATAGCAACGTTTCAGACAAGCAGAACAGTTAGCATGTTATGGCTTGATGAGCATGAAACATAAGCTGTTATTTAACTCATGACAGGAGACATTAGAGGGGGTGGGAGGAGAGGGAGAAAGAGGGGTGACACAGAGAGAATAAAAGAAAAAGTTTTCCTTTCAGAGAGGTGGAGGGAAAGGCTATGCTGGATAAGAAGAGAGAAAGGAAAGGCCAATAAAGAACTGTTTCAGAAAGTATGTAAGACTAGAACTACAATGTGGCCTACGCGCCGTGAGAGCAGTGCAAGGTGACAGCCCCAAATAACACTCCAACTTAGTATCTCTGGTGCTGGGGTCAGGAATCACTGGGAAGCTTCATGCCTGTATAGAAAATATTTTGTGAAGCAGTAAACTTCTCTAAGGCGGACAACTTGAGGGGAGCAATCCGAGTTAATAAAATATCTGAATTACACAGAAGATTTAAGAAAAATATATATTTAATACAAACACTAAAAATACAGGTCACAAAATTTTACCTCAGGGAGGGCCTATTTAATTACTAGATTCAAATCACGCTATTTCCCACAGGCGTTTACACGGTGCTTAAGGCGCCTCAAGTCTGTTTTCTTGCGGGCCTACTCTATTCTACGATTAGGTTATCCTACAAAGATTAATTTGGTCTCTACATTTTTTTCAATTAATTAATTAGAATTTAAATTAATACAGAATCAAATTTGGGAATGACGTTGCTAGACCCAGTAATGTGGTTCCAGGGTCGACAAGGATTTTATTCAGTATTTTCCATTTCAAAAATCTCAATTTAATATACTTAACATCTATCTCTTTTCAAAGTGTCAGTGAACCACGGTTCAAGATCAGAGTTGCTGGCAGCGGTGCCGGTGTTAACACTGCTCTGCACGGTGACTCTTCACTTCAGTTCTGCCACGTTACTGACATTGTTTCAAAGCAAAATAGGTGAGAACGTGCTGAACATTTAAGACACACATGTCACAGGCAAAACAAACCTGAAAATTTCAAACTACTACATCCATTCCCAAGACTGTCAGTAAAAAGCAAGTACAATGGAAGATGAGCACATCTGTGAAGTTATGAAAAGCTATTTTCTCAGAAACAGCTGTCAAAAGGTTTCTAACTTGAAAATTACACATACTCATTTTACAGGAGGATAGTGATAATACTGTCAATTCAATTTTAATACAATGAAAATAATGTAAAAATATAAATTTGGAGTATGTTAAAGAAACTGATGAGCATGCTGTAAATCCCAAGCTGCACACCCCGTACCTTTCCAGCTGCTTCTGGTGCTTCTCCTCCCTGGCCTGCGCCTTCATCTGCTGCACCTCGATGGTGTCGGGCTTCCTCCTCCGCATGTACAGCTCATGGTTCCCCATGCACAAGGCCAAAATCCGCTTATTGATTCTCAGACGAGGCGCATAAAAAACAAAATCCTAAACGTGAAGTAGTCTGAGTTTAGAATCTTCATGAAGGATAATCCTCCCACAATAAGCTGTACTAAATTTCAACCTGTGCTATGAATTCTAATTTCATGTTACACATAGTTTCGAAATCATAACATTTCTTCCCTCCTTGTGAGTGTGCCGTACTTTCACCTAACTGGTTCCTCACCTTTTCACTGCCCACCAGTTTTGTGGAGAAGCTAATGTTCTTATTCTCTCAATGCATTAAATGTCATTCAGTCTTTTTCTTCTCCAAAGCAATCAGGGGCATCCATCTGTTCCTTCACCTCAGAGGAGGGTTTTTTGGGGTTTGTTTTGACTTTGCCATTGATCTCAAAATTGCACCTTTGTTCAAGGCTGTTAAGTTTTTTAACCTAGAAATGTTCTCTGCATCTTTTTTGTCTTTCCAGTAACTAACAGAGTTAAAATACTACTGTATATTTGACACTAGAGGAATAAAAAAAAAATCTATCTAAAAATAAAGATTTCTTAAATTCAAGGCTTTGAGTCATGAAAATACAAACGCAAAGCTCATAGTGCAAAGCTTTATAAATAAGTAATTTAGAGTAGCGCTACATCTACTACAGTCTAGCCACCAAAAACATTCCTTTTTAAATAGGAATGGTGACTGTTTTCAATCACCTCCTAATTTATATTACCTACTTTACAGCTAAATCTCAGTTAAAATAAAATTCTGGTAATTTACATGTTGTAAAAAGATTAAAAGCTTGTATTTTTAATAATATTCATTATTTCATCATTGGGAAAGTTAAACTATGTAGAGAATGTTCCTTAGAAGCAATTCAAGAAATGAATAATGCCATTCTTCAAGTGATACAGCATGGCAAAGTGGCAGGAATTTAAAGAGTTAATACGTAAAACAAAAGAATTTTACTTACAGGTGCCTTTTTGTCGATTGGCTTTATAACAAATTTTTTGTCATTAAATGAAATATTTCTGATTTCACTCCAGGGAAAACCAATTTTAGGTGTTAACCTTAAAAAATGAAAGCATCCCTTAAGATGAATATATTCTCATTATAAGAAGAAACTGAACCATTCCGTTAAGACCAAAGTCCCAGTTGTCCAGAATCCCCATTCCTAATCCCTCCCATCTCAAGCTAGCCCTTATCTTTCACACTCCCCATCCTTATCTGTACCCATAACTATAGTGGGGACTCTAACAGAAACTAATCCCAAGATTTTTTTAAGAAAGAAAAAAAAAGGAAAAATTTTGTCCACAAAAATTACTCTTGAAGTCATTTTTGCTTTTCAAAATTTTCTCTTCTGAATGATAAAGCATTTTAACTTGCTTTGTAATATATGAAAAAAAAGTGTATCAGAGTAAAATTAGTAAAATGCTCTCTCTTTTGTTGGAGTTATTATATATGCTTATAAACATGTATCTTATTAGATGCCTATACTAATGACAATAAAATTCTGGAGCCAACGCAGAATAAAAAGAAATGTCTTAGGAGAAGGTCTTACTGGCACAGACTTGGCTGCTTATGTGATACAGTAAATTAAAGGGAGATATAAAGTGATTCTAGCTACCATCACTAAGAAGTGCTCTAAGAGCCTGACGTATTACATATTAACATAAAAACTAATACCTGGTCAGTTTCAAAATAAAATTACATTGTTCACCATGCATAGCACAACGATATTCTACTTTATCAATGTGCAAAACTATTCAAAACAATTCCTACAAGGTAAACGTTCAAAAACAGTGTTACAAAATATAGTAAATCATACATCTATTATTTCACTGTCTCCTTGCTCCTGATTTCTTATACATGTTAATTTCAATTTCAACTCACATGCTAGGAATAACATTTAAGGAATCATTCTCCATTTATTGAGATAAAATATTTTAAGTCACTAGACATAACTCACAAGACATCAAGAAGCATACTTCAAATAAAAGTGTATCATTCTATTTGATAAATACACTTGAGAAGTAAAACTCAAACTACAAGATGTTGAGAAAACTGTAAGTTATCTGAATGCCTATGTAGCATTAACTGATCTTTTAATTTAGGGGGAAAGAAAAGCAGTTAAGAGTAATCAACCCCAAAAAGAACTTTTACAAACGTTAAGACTAAAGCCGAATAATGACCAGGTCACTATGCAACTAATTAAACTTACTTGTCATCATGTTCATAAATATTCAGACCCAAAGCATCAACGCCTAGCCACAACTCAGTTCCCTTTTTGTTTTTTATTTCAAAATAGTTGACTCCATACATTTCTAGGTCTTGTGCAATCTTCAGGTATTCCATCATAGAATCTTCCCTGTTGAAATAATTTGAATTATCTAAGTAAAAGTATCTAATACCAAATAAAATACAAAACCACTTTGGATTAAAATTTAGTGCTTTATAGTTACTCATATAAGTCAAATCATCCTTTGGGGATAATCTGATGCAATAATAAATGTTACGGAAAAGAAATACTTTTAAGAAAAAAACACTAAGAAAACAATCACCCAAATACCTTAGCATTCCTCTATGTTCCTCATGCCAGTTCTGTATTCTTTCTTCCCACTGTTCCTTTGTCAGTTTGTGTTGTTCCAAAACACTGTAAGGAAAAAAAAAATCTATGAAAATGCCTTTAAGATTCAAAATCAATATTTTTTTAAAGTCTAGAATCATTAAGAACCTTGACAGTGGTGGTCATACAAATCCATACACATGCTAAAACTGCACAGAACTAACAAATGCACACATACCCACGGATGACTGCAATAACACTGCTGAAACCTGAATAAAGTCAGTGGACTGTATGAACGTCACATCCCGGCTGTGATACTGTACTGAAGGTATGCAAGACATTACTATTAAGGAAGGCTGGGAGGAGGATACACAGGATGAACTATCATTTTTTACAACTGCATGTGAATCTACAATTATCACAAAATAAAAAGATTCTAGGATCCTGAAATTATTTTAAATAATACATATTTTTTAAATATTATATGAATAGTTTATGGAAATTCAAATAATTGAAATGAATAAAACATTGAGCCAGAAAAAGGGAAAAATGACTTTCTCATTATTAATTCAAAAAATTAGAGAGGGAACGATTGAAAATCAGAATTCTTGGGTCTTAATTTTTCTTTGACTCTGCACATTTACTTTTTTGCTGCTAAATGTAATTTCGTTATTTTCTATAAATAATACTTTATATAAAATGTAAACAAATGAAAAGCCGTTTTTTTCACTACCGTCACCCTTCAAATAACTTTTTCTTTTGTATCCTTCCAGTGTTTCTTTTGCAAATGTCAGCAAATACATTCTTATTTTCAACTACCAGTATTTTCACACCAAATGAGCAAATTCAATATGCACATAATTTACCTGCTACATTCAGTACTGATTATGTATTTTAGTCTCCTTGGGAATGATGATGATAATTATCCATCTTTATTAGTGAATTCTCAGATCCTATTTTACTGATAGTAAAAGTGGTGGTATTAAAATATTATTTTTTTACTATGTAAAAATTTATGGTAAACCATGATTTCTTGGCAGTATAAAGAAATCTTGGGATAGAATCTTCCCTTGGACAAATTACTCACTATTTAGAGTAGATTCCTTAATGGGGTCTCAGATCCCATTGTCTTAACACACACCTCTTCTTCTACGAATCTTCTTTAAAGCTCCTGCTTTTTGGGAGATTTTTGTCTTCCTCCCAATAGCACTTAAGTTTCCGCATTTTTGCTGTCTTGCCATCTGGCCTCTGAGCTCCCCAGGAGGCAAGCCTCGAGGGCATAATCAGCACAGCCAATTGCAGGTATTAAAATGTTCACTAAATCTGGAGGTATGGGTTAATTAAATTGGATGCCACCAGATTTATGTTCTAGCTTCTTATATCCTGCATTTCAAATCTCCTTTGTTTGCATTTTGTGTAATGTGCTTGTATTATTAATCTGTATGACCGGTTTGCAAGTATCCCCACATTCCCACCCTTTTTTCCTTCTGTCCAGAACAAAGGAGTCCCCCTCCATGCGAAAGGCTGATCTGTCCCACTTGGCTTGAAATCCATCTGGGCCTTTAAAAGACTTCTCCCTCTGTTTTCTCAGGATCTTCACTCCATCATTTATTGTCCCCTGCCCACATATATTATCAGACATAGGCATACCTTGGAGATATTTCGGGTTCATTTCCAGATCACCTCAATAAAGCAGTCATATGAATTTTTTTGGTTCCCCATGCATATAAAGGTTGTGGTTACACTATACTGTAGTCTATTAAGTGTGCGATAGCTTTATGTCTATTAGAAACAATTTAAATACTTTTATTTAAAAATACTTTCTTGACAAAAAAAAATGCTAACCATCATCTGAGCCTTCAGGGAGTCATTAAGTTTTTTGCTGGTGGAGGCTTTGAAATATTCCAAGAACTACCAAATGTGACACAGAAATGAAGTGAGCAAAAGCTGCTGGAAAAAAACAGCACTGAAAGACTTGCTTGATGCAGGGCTGCCATAAACCTTCAATTTGTTAAAAAAAAAAAAACAAACCCCACAGTACCTGCAATGCACAATAAGGCAAAGTGCAATAAAATGAGGTATGAATGTATACTTACTTGTGTTAAGAGAGCAAAGACCACATTCAGGTTGCTCACCACTTATGCTCAGTGACAGCACTGAAGAGGTACTCAAAAATTTATAGAGTGAATAAAAGCATTAAATCAATTCTTCTCCATCTTTTAATGAACATGTCTATAAACTCATGCTTCCCTACTCTTTTCATTTTCACAGCCAAACTTCTTTTGAGCACTGTCCATTTTCACCACCCTTCATTTCCACACCTCACATCACTGTCCCCCCAGGTCCACCACAATCTGGCTACAACCCCAAAAGTACTGAAACTCCTCTTACACCGGAGATATTGCAAACTCAGTAGGTTCAAAACTAAAATCTTCCTCCTCCAAAATGTGTTCCTTCTCCTCTTACCTTGAAAAGGTTATTACCAACCACCCAGATACCTAAGTCAGAAACTTGGTACATAAACATGTATGTATATCTAGCTCTTTTTAAAAGAGAGGGATACTGTCTGGTGGAGCTGATCATTCATACCACCAGACTGCTAAACTCTACTGTGGGAGAACAGATTGCTTATCTAGGTTTTTCAATACAAGAATTATAAACATCCATCAAAATCATCAAATTATTGTTTTTGGTTTAGGATCACCAAATAACCTGATTTCTAATCTTCCCCCAGGTACTTAGTGATAAGAGTATGCTACACACCATTATACAGAATAAGCCAATACTGAAGGGCTCTCCTCCATTCTAAATCAAGAACTTAGTATTCTGACTTTATGAGTAAGTCTCCTTTAAGCCTGAGTTAGTCGTCCTGAGACTAACAACCTGAAGAACACCTGACAGGACCTTCAAAGTTAAAGACCAAATCTTGAACAGCATGTGCTGTTCTTTTTTAAACAGAATGGGTTATAGCACATATGCATCTAAAAGAAATTAATTGTGCTTAAGTTTGATTCTAGTATTAAAAAAAATTATTTTTAAATCACATGACTGTTAAATGTAAGCCAGTTACTTCATCTGGTACTCAACCAAACAGCAATCTGACCTAACACGGAAAGAATTATCTATGTTATACTTGTTGAGATAAAGTATGCCTATTTTATAAACAATTAAGAATTCTAAAGGTAATTTTGATTATTTATATATACTATTTACCTTATGTACTGATTTAAAAGCTAATCTGCTGGCATTTTACTATATATAAATTATACCTCAATTAAATAAAAACTAATCCTTATGTGAAATGAAACTCTACTGTACCAGTAATCAATTACTCAATTCAGCGCTTAAAGAAACTAAGACAGGAATTTATGGTTGGAATAATAATCAGAAACAGACTTACAAGTACCTCATAATTCTGATTCTTTCAGTGAACAACATGCATCATTTCACCCTCTAAAATAACTATTATTGTTATAATACTAAAGAGCAGAACAGTGTAAGATTTAATAACCAATTATTAAAGCTACTGTACTTAATGGACTTAAAGTAGTCTTGTGTTTCTTCATATTTAGTACCTATGAAAAAGAAACTCCACCTAAGCACTTAAAACTATGAGAAAGCAACACAGAACTGAAATTTTAGGTTAATACACAGTTTTGCATTTAAACAGAAATTGTGAAATTCACAAATCTGAGGTAAGAATAGTAACTTCTCTCTGGGTTCTAAAGAAAAACCTCCATGTACACCCTAATGTGATTCAGTGTCACGTATGCTACTATAACTAAGAATTGAGATATTTAAAAGTAATATTTGATGTTGTACTTTCTAGATTTTATAATACTACCAACTCTCGTATCACACTTGACAGTTGAAACAGTAAACCATACACGTCGTGAACTATAATCATAAACAGTAAGGCAGACAGAGCAAAACTTCTGTCCCCATTTTGCATATTCAGATACTCAGGCTCAGAGAGGATACGTACCTAAGGCCACATAATTAGCGAAGGGTAGAAAAAAGGGCAGAATCAGCATTTGAAACCTAGGTCTTCTGCTAATGCTGTTTTCCTTTGCTGTGCCAACTCTAAAATAATTGCTATATTGAAACTGAGTCCCCCTAAAACCAAGTTCCCTTACTGCGTTTCTGATTAAGTTCTCTACCAAAACTTTCTTTTCCTGTCTGTCCCCTGACCTCAATCCTTGATAACTGAACACTCATCAACCACGGTCAGCTGACTGTTGACTGCTGTTGTCGACAACATCATTAAATGTACTAAAACTGTCATTACAGATATTAACATACAAACACAGGTTGTTTCTCCAGGGCAAGAGGGGCTAACAGGCCCCTGAGCCATGAACCACCTGGCCAGAGAATCATAAACCAGAGATACTCTGACTCCCAAACTGTCACAAGATAGTGATCAATCCCAGCCTCTTTGTTCTCCCCCTTTGAAAAACCCGCATCTCAAAAGACCACGTGGGAGTGGACCCAGGGCTTGTCTCCCACTCCCTTGCTTGGTGCCCTGCAATAAATGCTGTACCTTCCTTCACACAGCCCGGTGTCAGGGGACTGGCTCTGCTGCCCATCTGGGAGCAGACTCCAGCTCAGCGCAATAACAATAAGGGCAGCAGTACGATGAGAACAGGGCACTAGACTAGGAGTTTGAAGATCAAGTTTAAAAAAGTCTTTTGAAAAGTTTGAAACTTAATTTTAATTCTATAGAGTAAATACAGCCTGGCACTTATTATTTTCAGGAGTATTTATTATATACCTATTTACCTGTGTGAGAGTTTTTACTAATAAGTAGCAACATTATGTCCTCCCCAAGCCCAAATGATCACTGCCTTCATTTATTGCTTATCTTACGGGAGTGAGAAGAGGCAGAGGTTTAGGTAATCACAGAGTATATAGATCTATGTAGCTTCTGGGTCATGACTTTTAAAAGTACACTCTCTGATGCAGCTGGCAACTTACAACCTAAAACATCAACAAGTAAGCAAACAAATCACAACCATTTACGAACTTCTGAAATACTAATTTTTAGACAATATAGCATAAGAATGTGTCTCACTTACCGCTGCGGTAGGAGTCTATCATTAGCCAGGTAGCCCGGTTTATGAACCTCTTTATTATAATCTCCATACTTGGCTTGGACAGCATAGGAAGCCAAAAGAACTGCAGTTTCTGGTGGGCAATATATCTCATCATTTAAGATAGCTTCTTTAACTTGCAAGAAGAAAAGTCTCTGGGTTATTTCTTGAATTAATTCCTCAGAAACATCTTCAGGAAAGAATTTAGCTCTAAATTTGAACTGCAAAGGATTCTCTTTTTTAACATCTTGCTGTGTCACCTGGAACAATAATTTCAAGTATAATCAGTAAAAATGTTAGAGTCACAATAACTAAACCTAGCCACATAAAATTCTTTTTGGAACAAAGTAGACTGTGAAACATAAATAAGAGTCTAAATCTATTAAGATTCTAGCGTGTAAGATTCTGAACCTGTAAAAAGAAATTTTATGTAAGAAAAAGATTCTATGCTCACGAGTGTGACCCATAACTCATAGATCCTAACTAATAACCAAACTGAAATTCCTCTTGAGAAGTTGATCCTGCAGATGTTTAAATTAAGGTCGAAGTACTAAGTTACACCTAATAACATTTCTTACATGGTAAGTTTTCAAATAGGAAAAGTAAACATTTCTTTTCCCTAAGATGATCCACTGAAGGTCCCTTACTAAATCAAAAGACATGACACCACTAACGATTCACAGAGATAATTTGCAAAAGGAGGCCTGAAATCAGTCACACTGAGTGTTTCTGGCACAAATTCATGATCGTGGTAACTTCAAAGTAACTTAATTATTAGCTGAATATTATCATACACACTTTACCTTTTTATTTAGTTTAAGCCATGTAGAATAGCCCTTGCTGTCCACATACTGCAGCCCAAAAAACCAGACCTCACGCAGACCAACTGTTTTCACCACCTGAAAAACAAAGTCAATTTCAGTTCAGCACTCACAGTATAACTAGATGGCTCTGCATTTCAAGAGAACAAAACTACACAGGGATGACAGGTATATTCCTTTGCTACAGGAAAGATCTTTCCTAAATTAACATGCTAATTAAAAGAGCATTTTTGTATATGTGCTGCCAAAGCGAGCACTAAAGGAACATTTTTGAAAACTTACACTCAGGTTTTGTTCACTAAATTTTGTAGTGTCATTTCAATCCTACCTGATCCACTCTTTCTCTACCTCCTTTCCTTTCTCATCTCCCATCACGACCCTAACAGATAACAAGAAGGATCTGAGGAACAGATACAGAGCTGTCAGAACTCCACTTTCCCATTTCAGTTTACCCCCACAACTACACTATCGGGCAGCCAAGGCAAATGGTATCATTTTGGTGATAAGAGTTTCTGAGGACATTTAAACACCATACCTCAAATTGTCCAACTGCTGGTATCATCCCCGTTCCCTTCACTCAACATCGTAATATATTCTATGTTGTACCCTCACAGAGCAAGAAATCACTCTTGGAATGTGCCATAAATTTTATCTTTCTATACCTTTGGTCACACAATGTTTCTTCTGTACTTTTACAAACACCAGTTAAATAATTTATTCCTCAAGGCCCAGCTCAACTAACATGCCTCTGTGAATAAACTTATCATTTGGATAAAATTAACCACTTGTTCCTTGATATTCCCATAGTTCTTTATCTAAACTGCTATTAGAATATTTATTTTATCAAAATTAACTGTATTACTAGTAGAGTGTCTATGTACCCTCTTCGTTTAAAACTAAGGGCCAGGATTATTGCCTTATTCTTTTTAATACCCATGTCATCTCAAAGAATGATGAGCCAATGGTAGGTACTAGGTATCGGAGTAAATAAAGCGGTAATCTGGGATCTACACCCAGGATTATGTCAACAAAAGCACACATTTTTTAAAATTTATACTTAAAATAAAATGAGGGAGGTGAGAGTCCACTAAGATTTTAAAAGCTTTACAGAAAGATTTAACATTAGTTCTTAACCCTTCAGTTTACTTTCTCTTTCGAAAAATTTCACTGAAATGACACACACACAAAATTAAAAATTAGAAAAAAAATTAGCTGGGATAGGAAAGGCTCCTACATTTAAAAAAAAATGAGAAATTTCTGGATGATATAGGATATAAAGATTCACACTGATGCAAAAAAAAGCTGATCAATGCCAAACCACCAAAACTGTAATGTAGACAAAGAAGATTCCAGATAATTTAATTTTGGCAAAAGATAGGTTGTTCCAACAGAGCCACAGAAAACATTCCAGAGTGGCAGGAGCAGGAAACGTACAAAGGTCAAGAGCAACCGAGAGAAGTGCACAAAGCAGCAGGCTTCAGCTTCTGCCTCGGGCCCTGTGTGAGTCACAGTGCTGCCAAGTGAGGGGGTCTGCCACGGTGGGGCACAAGGGGCAGTCTCCCAGCTCCCTTCAGACTCCCACAACACCAGGAGGAGCCAGAGGGCGCAGCGCGGAATTCCCAAGAGGCCCCACCTCCTCAGTGGCTCTTTCCTCACTTCTTCTGAAACTGTTCTAGGAAACGTTTAACCACATACTTATAAGTAAAAACAAACTGGGGGCACAGAACTACAGTATGTGTATATTTATTTACAAATTATGCAATGCTGCCATACTAAGATATTAGAAAACATATTTTTTAAATGTTTGAAAGTTTGAAAGACAAAAATAAAGACAAATATTTTAGTATTTTTCCTTGCATCCTAACAGATCATGCTGAGTACTCCTTGAGGGTATCACTACTCAGCCTACAGGCTGAAGCTGGAGGAGGAGGCTAGTGAAGGGAGCAAACTGAAGGGCCTCAAGCACTCAACCAGGGCCCCTCCACACAGCAGCTGGCCTCAGACATCTAATCAGAGGTGAGGCTTCGCTACAGGCACATGCATCTGAGAGGACCTCTACTCCTCGGTCTGCTCCTGGCCTGACCCTCAACTTACCCACCTGACAGCTCACAAAGATACTCACCACTCCCAAGGGAATGCCTGCTTTTAGATCCTGCCATTCACACTCAGGGGAAGTTGTCAGGAAACAGAGCAGGGACTCCAGGAATTAACTGCTGAGAGCCAGTAACAGATAACAATACTCCCTAATTTAGACCCCTTCATTCACAGCATGAAATGGATGTGCGTGTGTGTATATCAAATACTGTTCTATGTACTTTACATGGATTTTAATTTAGTTCTCAAAAAATCCGCAGAAGGAGTATCACCCTAATCGTACAAATAAGAAAAACGAAGCAAAAAGAGCAACTGTGCAGAGCAGAACCGCTGCAGCTGGGATTCGACAACAGGCAGCGTGGCTGCAGCCCCACACTCCCCCCCTGCTACACACTCCTGCGCTGTGATGGACGAGCTTTCATCTGCCCTGGCGTCCACACCAGAGCAGTTCTGCCCGACAAACTACAAAAATTTTACTTCTCACTATCCAATACCAAACAGGCCTACTTGCTGATTAGTTTCTGACTATCACAAAACATTTCAATCACTGTAAGTATTATTTCAACCTGTTATGGAGAACAATAAATGCTAACTCCACTCACATTTGTATGCAAGGTAGGCTGTATGTACTTACAGGAGGCCTAGAAGCATCAACAGAAAGGAGCATCAGCTCACAAAGGTCAAACATCTATAACGTATGGTACACGCAGCTGCTTATTACGACGTGGTTTTAAAACTCTGCTTACTCACACCAAAAATAAAAGGCCTTTCCTCTTCCAGAAAGACTCCATTTTATCAAGGCTTTCAAGTTCACGAATTATCTAATCACAAGATTAAGTTGACTACTTTGTCAAGAAAAGCAGCACCTTCCCAGGAATTTTTAAATTTTTCTTTCATCACATTTTGGATCGGTACGTAGATCCAGAGAATGACACTGGATAAACCAGGATATGGACCATGTTACTTGCTATTGTCACGCCAGAGACTCTCGCTCCCATTCTCTATGCTCAACAGTTAGCTGGATCACAGGCTAGTACTGCTCTCCTGCTCGTATGTAAAGTTACCTTCCTCCTTTTTGCAATCACTTCATTTCTCAACCACTTGATTTCTAGTAACCAATCTCCTTCCTCCTTTACTCAGAAAAACTTGATTACTTACAGTATTATATACAGTATTACCTGGGGAGCCTAAGTAACAAATACTAATAGTTTAGAGGAGGCCCCAGACAATTAAGTCAGAATCTCCTGAGGTGGTTTCCAAGCACTGCTTTTTTTTTTCTCTTCTTTTTAAAGCTCCCCAGGGTGGCTCAAATGTGCACTAGAGAGTGAGAAAAACAGACCAGAAGTCCAAGTTCCTTAAAGTGACATCACGTTCTAACTCCAGGCCAGCACAGCATGAGCCTGGGGCACCAAACTGCAGTCAGCTGCCTATGCCTCTGCTCCTGCCATCCCCGTGAAACTAAGTCCTCCCAAAGCCAAGTCCCCTGCCGAGTTTATGATTAATCTCTGTCCAACTGCATGCCCTTTCTCGTCCCCTCTGAACTCAATCCTGTGCTAACTGAACACTAATCAGCCAGAGTCAGATGACTAAAACTGCTGTTGCTGATAACACCATTCATGCAGTGAAAGTGCTGCTGTATCGTCAGGTATCACTAACATGCACACTCAGGTTGCTTCTCCAGGGCAAGCAGAGCTAACGGACCCCTGAGCCATGGACCACTTGGCCAAAGAATCGTAACTCAGAGACATCCTGACTCCTGAAACTATGATTAAGAAATGTCACACAATGATGATTAACCCCAATTTCTTTGTTCTTCCCCCTTGGAAAAAAAACCCTAACTCAAAAACCAACCTGGAGTAGATCTGAGGCTTGTCTCCCAATCCCTTGCTTGGCAATAAGGCCATATTTGCTGCAAACACCCGCTGTCAAGAGTCTGGCTTTCTGCACCACGGATACACAAGCCCGCTGCTCGGCTACACCCTCTGCCTAGGATCTCCACCTAGTCTGCTCGTGGATTATGCAGAGTATCTTTGAATTCCTTTTAATCCTCATTACAATGATTTGCATATCAGATGTTAAATAAATATCTGCTAATAATTATTTTTAAAAAGTCCTATCTCTCAAATCTAAGAATGAGAAAGAATATCCCTATAGTTGTGAAAAACATTGGAGCAGCTACTGTGAAAAATACCAAATGTTGCATTGTTGCATTACAAGTAAAGTCACAGAAAAAAACATAAAAAGAACTATGCAGCAGCTTCCACACTATGATGTCAGAAAGCGTACTTCATGCGGTAAATGATACCTGGTCAAAAAGCTGTTTGCCAGTTGTATTGGGCTGAATGGCAAATTCCAGCTCCGCATCCATTGTAGTTACTCTTACGTTGATCTGCAATAAAAACAAAAGGGATAATCAGTAGAAAAGAGAAAATGCTTATTAAGTATTAGGCATGAGGAAATACTTTTACCTGATTTATAAAATAAAGTGGCATAGGGTGTAAGGCAGTAAAGAGCCACTCTGCAGTGTACTTAATATTTTCTCCATTAAAGTGATACTTTGATTTATTTATATTTATTTTTGATGTACTGAATATAGGAGGCACTAGGCCACATGCTTTTCATAGTCTTATCTGCCACTGCAACAATACTAGATTATGTTCATTTCTACAGAATAGTTCATTTCTACAGAAAAGTTCCAATTACTTGCCCAAGGACACATGGACATCAAATGGCAGAGCAGGTTTTAAACTCAGGTATAATTGCAAGTTCTTTGAATGTCATTCACTATGCCTATGCCTTTCAACACCCAAATATTTAAGTTTTATTTATACTGCAAATGTATTCTTCACTTTTATAAAAAGCATTCATCTGTTGTCTTTTATTTACTAGACTCTTCCAAATTCTAATTTTTGTGTGTAAATAACTTCCTAGTTGAGTATCTGTTCAAAAACTTTACATGATATACAAGTTTCTTCCATACAGCACAGGGAACTATATTCAATATCTTGCAGTAATCTATAATGAAAAAATATGAAAACAAATATATGTATAATATGTATGACTGAAACATTATGCTGTACACCAGAAATGGACACTACACTGTAAACTAATTATACTTCAATTAAAAACAAACAAAAAATTTTGGTTAAAAATAATTTTCACTCCAGAATAGCATCTTCACCTAGAATTCACCTTAAGGTAAAAATCTATCTTTTTAACATTAACTCATTATCAGAACTCTACATCAGACTTATGTCCCCTTATGTTCTGTTCAAACAACCACATGTACCTCTCTCTGCACATGTAATTTTATCTGAATTACCTTCTCTAGGCAAATAAATCTTACAGAGCTCCTTCCTTAAAATAATAATTTAGAACACATAAAATATATGTAACATATACAGAAAATGAAGCATAATAAAATAAAACCTATTGTAACATAATAATATATATATGGTCTTCATCCTGGGTTCCTGGCACAGAGATCCTAAAATCCTTATGATTTCCTGAGTAATATACGTGAGAGAAGGATCTTCTGTTATTCATAATAATCTCCTTTCAACCATACCTGAGTGTATGCTAATGAGGTGGCTCTAGGTGGGCCCCAAATAGCTTCAGAATGAGGCTGGTAGCCAGAGAAACCAACCATGAGATTAGAGGATTGGAACTTTCAGCCACCCACCCCACTAACCTCCCAGGAGGGGAGAGGCTGGGGAATGTGTTCATCATCAATGTCCAAAGATTTAATCAATCATTCCTATGAAATGGAACCTCCATAAAACCCTAAATGAAGGGGTTTTGAGAGCTTCCAGGTCCTTGAATGCATCAACCTGAGGGTGGTGCACCCCCAAACTCCACAAAGACAGAAAGAAGCCCCTTTGCTTGGACCCTTCTAGACCTTGTCCTCTTCATCAGTATCCTTTATATTAACCAGTAATAGGAAGTAAAGTGGTTCCCCGAGTTCTGTGAGCTGTTACAGCATATTATAGACCCTGAAGAGGAGATGGTGAGAATTCCCAAATTTTTAGCCAAGTTAGACAGAAGTGTGATTAGCTTCTGAAGTTGGGAGCAGTCTGGTGAGTTTGAGCCATTAACCTGTGGGGTCTGCACTAACTCAGGGTAGTTGTGTCAAAATGAATTGGACTGCAGGACACACAACTGAACTGGGTAACTGCTTGCTATGGAAAACCCATACATTTGATGTCAGAACGTTTCGAATAAAGAGAAAGTTTTCCTTTACCCGTAAGTCTACCATTCAATTTTTTAAAAACTAGAAATGACAAAAAATGTTGCATATACTAGTACATTTCTTCTTTGTGAATTTGTCTCCAATCCTCCACAGGTAGGCACTAACCTAAACATTCAAACATGACATATTAGTTCATTTGTTCATTCACTCCCCAAAGACTACACTGTCACAGATCGAGCATGTATAGGTATGGGTCTAATTTTGTGCTCTTTTTTCTGTTGCACTGGGGGCAATTTAGCTATTCTGCCAATACCGTACTGTCTTAATTACTGTATCTTTAAATAAGTCTTGACATCTGGTAGGGCGTCTCCCCTAACTATCTTCAGAACCGGTTTGGCTGTTCTTATCTCTTTGTTCTTACTCTTGACTCCACATGTCATAACTGTAAATTTTCAAAACACCCCATTTATGGTTTAAATTGAAAACTACACTAAGTTCAACAGTCTCTTTGGGGTGAAAAATGACAGCTTTTCAATACTGACCCTTCCTATCCATAAGTATGGTTCTCTCCGTGCATTAATTTTGGTCTTTTTAAGTATCTTTTAAAAAAGTGTTTCTGACTTTCTCCATAAAAATAATAGTAATCATTTGTTACTATATATTCCTCCTAAATAATTATGGCTTTTGTAGCTATTATAAATATAGGTTCACAATCCCTTGAAATCCTAAATGCACTGAAAACTGAAGTTTACTAGCTAATTTCTAGCAAAAACTTAAAAGTGATATGAGTCCATTTGGTGAATTAATTTACCCCACTTCAAATGACTATTCACACACTGATGTATAGAATAACTAATGTTTCTGAGGTGATTCAACAGATCCCGATGGAAGTCGTATGTCAAAATATGCTGTATATTCACTTTTCTAAAATCCAAAGAATTCCAAAATACTCAAACTCATCTACCTTAATATTTTCTAGATATACCTATGACCAATGTATATTTTTCTATATATTTTGGTCTTTTTAATTTCTTACAAGTTTTCTGTGTAGAGTCTTATACGGTTTCTATAAATTCATGCCTAAATATTTTGTTTTTTGATGCTGTAACAAATGGAATTCTTTTCACTTCACTTTTTGAATTTTGCTGCTAGTATATAAAAGACAACTGAATTTTTTTTAAATATGACATTGTGTCCAACAATCTTGCTAAATTCAGTTGTTTGTTCTAATAGTTGTTTTGTAGATTCCTGAGGATATTTACATAAATAATCACGTTATCTGTAAACAGAACAACTTAATTCCTCCTTTCCTTTCTATTGATTGTAATTCCAAAGTGACATCCATGCCAGAAAGTTTCAATTACTACAACCAATGATTTTCTTAAAAAGATTACTGGCCAGAAGAAAATTATTTAAAAAGTAATTTTTTGTTAGATGAAGAAAAGACCATTTATCCTAAGACACAAGGATAAACCTTAGTCACAAATTATATATTATATAAAGCTAAATAATATTATTTATAATATATATAATATATAACTAAATAAAATGAACATATATATACCCTTAAGTAAAAACTCTAAGACCACATATAACATTCGTACTGGTGTCACTAGCATCAAAGCTAGAATTATGAGAAAATGAATAATGCATGGGCCCTTCTGACCTCTCATTATTTTCTCCTGTGTAACAGTAAGTTCCTATTTACTGAGCACTGGATGTGTATGTGCCAGGATCTTCTAATCCTCACCATACATAGTCTCCAAGAGGTAACTAATGTCTCCAATTTTATATATGAAGAAATTAAGAATCGGAGAGACTGAACTAATCTAACAAAGGTCACTCAGACTAAGTGGCAGAGTGAGGATAAGAACTAAATTTGACCCCACAACGCACAGTAACCTTAACTACAATGTCACCCATACCTCTTCGTCACTGGCCCATATAACCCTGAACTCTAGTCACATTAACTTAAAACAAACAACAATAATATCAGCGCTTTTTTCCCCCCAACAACTCTACCATAATACTCTGCCTTGTTTCAAAAGGAATTTAATGCTATTGACATTTTATTAAGTAAGCAGTATCAGAAGAAACAAAATTCACTTACTGGTTTCGGCATTTTCCTTCTCTTTTTGTCACCCTCTTTAAAAATTCACTTAATGAATTCTGTTGAACTTCTGTTAAAGAAAGAATAATTGATCTATTATTTTTTATATAGTAATATTTTTACTTAACAATATAATTTGTATAGATAAAACAAAGCTTTAAACTCACGTTTTAAAATGTTATAATTAACATGGAACTCTTATTTTATTCTGATTTTCAATGTCTTCTATCATTTCGCATTCTCTAAAAATACTTTTATCTGTGATTTAAAACAGTGCACATCTCAAGTAACAGAGGGTAAAGCATACTGATCACCAAGTGAAAGTTTTGATTTAATTACAGACAAAATATAGTAGGAAAAGGATTACTAAGGGCCCAAATGCTTTCTTTCTCTTTGACTCAAGCGTGCCCCTATACCCAGACCGGTAGACAGAGAGACAGCAAAGGAGGTAACAGATGGATTCAGATTCTGAAGAAATGAACTCACGAACACTTTTCAATCTTTCTTCTGTACTGCCAAAGACAAAAAAGAAAAGAAAAGAAAAGAAAAAGGGAAATACTGATTAATGTAAACTACAAAAAGATCACTATTTAAAGGAAATCATTTTTCTCCTTGAAAGTTTAAAAATCCAGGTAGAGACAAATAGATGAGTAACTTTTTCACCTACAGTAGATAAAACAGCCAGTCTGCACACCAGCAATCACCATGCTACTCACCGGCAAGCTAGTGGCCTTCACTGAAATTTAGATTTGTCCTTAAGACCAATGTTAAGTTATATCTTCTCTTGCTAAGGCAACAGAAGTAAGTCTTAATCTAGGAAAAGCAACATATTATTTTAGGGTAAATGTTCTTACAAATATCTAACAAAATTGGGTTTTCTTCTTACAAAACTACCAAAAGATCTAACATTCTTAACCATTTAGTTGTCTAGAAAAAATGATTATTCCTATTTGAAAATCTAATAGTGAGAAGTGTATTAGATAATTACCTGAAAATCAGCTTATCAAGTAATATCTCTGCCAAGAAACTTTATTTGTTATACTAACATTAATTAATATATAATTTTTAATTTTATAACTATATTGTCAATTAACAAAATGGAAAACTCTCCAAGTTGAAATAAAAACAAAGGATCAAAGTTAGGTCATTTCTTTAAATTTTAGTCAATCGTGTGTCAATAAATCTCTCTATAGAGGGAATTCCACATCGTAAGAAATTTCTTATCTAATACACTGGGATATGAAATTCAGTTGCAAGTATTAAATTCCTCATTTCCTAACTTGTCATTTAACTCTTAGCTAGGAAATGATATTCTCTATCTGTAATTGCCTACTTTCATGAACCTACGTGTACTTCAGCTATCTTCCAATTCTATGTCCTCTTTTCATCTCTACTGAAGACTTCATCTCAGGTCTTAAACAGCCTCAAAACCAATCTTTCACATCATTTATAAGCTGGTAACTCCCAACTCTGTATCTCCAGACTTGCTTGCCTAATACGGCTTGCTCAATATCTAAATGATATGTCAAAGACAACATGGCTAAAACATGGTTTAAATCCCTACCCCAAGTCAAATCCTCTTTTTCCAAAAGTTGTGGTGACATATTTCCAGAAAGTTATTCATAGCATTCTCTCCATTTTTTTTTTATATCTTTACCACATCTACAGCTCTGATCCCCTTTCTATTCCTAACACAATTAATTTTTGCCTTCCCTTTTGTAACTTATCTTGCTGGAAGTTTGCTTCATTGATTGGTCAAAAAACCAGCTTTCAGTTTTATTGATCTTCTATTTCCTTTTTCTCTTTTGTTAATTTCTGTCCTTCTCATGTTTCTTCTCACCAGGTGGCTTTTACTCTGCAGCTCATTTTCTAATTCCAAAAATTTAAAGTTTACTTAAGTAATTTCCCATCTTTTTTTCCTAATACACGCATTAAGGGCATAAACTAAACATGTCCCATTGCAACTCCAAATACAAAGTGATCCGCCTACTTTGCCAGCGAGAGTATTCAAAAATAATTTTCACTGGATTATGTAAAATAATCTCATTCATCAGCCATGAGACCTGAGCATCTATATCAAACTTCTGAATCACACTGTTTTCCAAATTACATGAGCATTTTTTTAATCTAATTATCACTAAAATGTTAATCCCAGGCCACAACTACCCATTTATATAAAACATTAGTAGGATATTATTTTTCCCTCCTTGTACCGTTGGAAAATATTTTATTTACTTTTTTTTTTAACTGGAGGTACTGGGGATTGAACCCAGGACCTTTTGCATGCTAGGCAGGCACCCTACCATTGAGCTATCCCCTCCCCCGGAACATATTTTAATATCCAGTGTTACTGTATTATTTTTAAGTGAGTTTTAAAATTCGGATCTGTTCTAGATTTCTTAGCCTCTTTTTTTACACTTAAATCACTTTTCAGATGAGCTCCATGAGCTCTCCAAAACCACATGGATTAAAGGCATTTCTGGTCAATGTACCTTTCTTAGACAGTACTTTGATGCTCAAGAGAAAGAGAACATCCTACAATGAGAGAGTTCCTATGAAAGCAAATATAAATCTCCTTTTTGGGGCAATAACTTTTGGTAAAAAGGGCCTGTATTTGAAACTCTACTATTTCTCTAAGTATCCCCTTAGTGGCTTGCCACTAAGGTTTTTTACATATAGCTTTTTCATTGCTGTTTGCATCTGAATGTTTCAGTTTCCAATTATGATTTCTAATCACTACTAAGAAGTTTTAAATTTTCCAAGGAATGATCAGAGGCCTGGGAGCAGAGTGCTATGTTTTTATTATTTATTCCTAAGTTTACTATATATACTAGAGTCAAAGAATTCATTAAGACTTCCTTTATATTTAGTGCTTAATCAGTTTGGGCTTTTGATTGTTCCAGATATAAATGAAAATAATGTTATTTTTCACACTTGATAAGTTAGATCAAGCCAGATCAAGTATTTAATGTTTTGTTTAAAATCTCTCTACTCTCAGTTTAGTCTAGATAACTACATTGAGGGAAAAAAATGTATTCAATTTTCCCAACTCTGATTGTGGATGTTAAAATTTCTTCTTGTATTTATTTATATGCTTTCAGGCTGTTATCAGGTGAATAAAGATTTAGAACTGTTTTACCTTTCCAGTGAATATTTCCTTGTTTCATTAAGTAACAATTTAATTGTACATATAATTCTAAATTAACTGTTATTCCCTCAGTATTTGGAAGATACTAGTTTTCTTCTGGAATCTGCTACTGCTGAGAAGTCTGCTATCAATTTAACTCATTCCCCTGAGGTAATATGCCTTTTCTCCCCGCTTTCCTTCAAGTTTTTTGGTTGTTTTTTGTGTTGTTTCGTTTTTGGTGTTCTCCAGATTTGCTTTTATTTATCTTGCTCAGGATTCAGTAAGCGTCCTGATTCTGAAGACTCATGCTTTTCTTAAATTCTGGAAGATTACTACCCACTGTCTCCTTCCCATTCAGCAATTCTTGTTAGATACACGCTGCGTATTTTATTCTCTAATCCATGCCTACTCTTCGTATTTTCTATCTCGTTACCTGTCTGAGCAACATTCCTCCAATCATTAATTTTCTGCAGATGTTTTTAACATTTTACCTGTCCCCTAGTTTAAAATTTCAGTGATTATGTATCTTAATTTCTAGAAATCCATTTTTGTTTTTTAAAAAAATGTTTAAAAATGCTACATTATTTTATACTTCCCATTGAATCCTTTCATTCCTATGTTTATTTTATGTCACTATAAAACTATCTACTATTTTCAATTCATTATGGCTTGTTTCTTTATGGAGTTTGTAATGGTGGAGAGAAAGTCATGTCCCTAGCCCACTCCCCAGTGTGGGACTCCTGCAAGCCCTGAGCTGTACATGTGTCCCTACAGAGTTTTTTCAGGTTTGCTCCTACCAGACTACTAGAAATTTAATTTAATTGTCCTAGACCAAATTTTACATTAACTTCCTCACTTAACATTCTATTACCACTTCAGACCCCATGGCCACACCCTAGAGAAGTTAACAGACTCAAGAGAGCCTGCTCAGGTACTGATGATCTGTTTACTAAACCATATATGGCTGCGATGCCCTTCCTGTGCCATCTCTCACTGGCAAAGAAGAACAAAGGAAAGAACATGAACACTAATTATACACCAGACTGTAAGTTAAAGCATTCAAACTACAGAAAGAGTGTTTTCAAACATAGGACCTGCTAGGCACGTAAATAAACATCAAGCATGTAGGTGTGCAAAATTTCTTAAATTATGGATTAATCAAATACTGGAATTAAATGAAGGTAGGGTTTTTCCCCTTTCCTTTAAGAAGTAATTTATCCAAATTTTCAGTATCAGCATTATTTCAAGGTATACTCTGTAGAAAAGGACCTTTTAAGCAAAATAATCCATATTAAAGTCTTAAGTTTAATAAGAGAGCTCTGCTGACATAAAAGAATAAACACATCATAGGCCAACAATATGCAAAACCAGGTTTTTACACAAATTAATTAACCCTTTAAAATCTCCCACAAACCTAACTGATATATGTGAACTGCGGGGAAGTGAGGAGCCTAACAAAAAGCCTTTGCAAATAAGGATACGGTTGGCCTCTAAAACAAACTTTAAAAAATGTACATTTTCAGCCAGTGTTCTCTCTTAAAATTCAAGCAGCACCATAAATTGCCTCCATATTTCTGGAAAGTAAGTTGTCAGTATATAACAAAAGCAACAAAGCTTTTTTGAACAGGAAACTTCTGAAATATACTCCAAAGAAATAAATAAAGTAATCTGTACCAAAATATTCTCAGCAGCACCAAGATATTATAACAGCCAATGATCAAAATCAAAATCACAATTAATGCTGAAACTATGTGACAAAGAAATGGACAAACTGTGTCAACATTTACATGAGGATAAGTGAAAAGGCAGAACACGTAGCCACCCATTATAACTAAGGAAAAAAACAGGTATCCTTACAAAGGATATCTGGATATACAGAACTGAGCACTTAATACTAATTGGGGGCTTATTTTTGTTAAGTTACTAATTTTAAAGATCAGATGAGAAATTTAAAAATGTATTTCCCTAAACTGCTTATGTATCAGTTTGTTCATAAGGCAGCATGATATACATAAGAATTTAAATTTTTCAGGATGAAGCTGTGCATAAATATAGTTAAAAACCTAAGTTGTTAGCCAATTTAGTGTTATTAAAAAATATTTATATCACGATAATATGTAACCTCAGTGGTACATTTCTAGTCCTCCTATGATTGTTATTAGCATATTATTTTTTGAAAATGGCATCTGTTAGGAGTAGAATGGACAACTTCATAAAATGTCACAGGAAAAGCCGAGGTGCCTAGATACATGTGGCTGTACCTCTCACTGGTTCGTGTTTAAAACTAACTTTGTCTTTCAATGTCTTCCTTTACTTCTTCTCTAACAAAATGATTATATCCACCTAATCCATTGTCAGAGCATAATAAAAATCAACTCTTCTCCCCACCACCCTCATAACAAGTAACTTATTGAAGAAATTTACTCCTTCCTCCCTACTCTCCCTAAATTTCGTAAAGTGGTCTTACCCCACCTCTTTTCCACAGACTCCCTCAAAAGCAAAGGACAATCATGGCAAGCAGTATTAAGAGATGCTGCCAGCTTCTCCCATCTCCCATTTCCAGAAAATTACACACATGAATATGTACTCAAACACAGCACCACATTTTAGAGACAAAACATTCATACAAACATTCTCTTTTTTTGTCCTTTAATGCTGAAGGTGACCCTTAAACAGCCTCCTCTCCACATTATTCAATGGAAAAACAGCCTCATGTTTAACACCTTGAGCTCTATTCAGTCAGCGGCCCAGCAGACCTTCCCCACCTGTCAGTGTTAAAACAGGTGCTAAGTCTGTCCATACGGGACCTACACTGATGCTTCAATAATTTATACCAGGCTGCCTAACTTTACTCTTCTGATACTCTTCCTCAAGCCTAATTGTAATTCTTTTCCTGTCTTTTGAGACACCATCTCTGAACAGAACTGGGGTCTCTCCACAGACCAAAAAATTACAAAAGACTCTCTGCCAACGTACTGGGGGACTGGGAAGCAGGTAACAAAGAGAAGCATAAACTGAGTAAGGTAATTCTGACGATCAAATTAACACACTAACAGCATCTACTAAAAAAGGTCTTAATCTTTTTTTTTTTTTTTTTTGGCACCATGGGCCCCTCTGGTAAAGCCTATGAACCCTTTCCTAGGAAAGAATTTTTAAAAGCACACACACACACACAAAAATACACAGTATTCACATAAAGAACCAGTTATACTGGATTACAGTCATCTAAATATAAAAAGCACAAATTTATGATACAGTAATATATATGCTTTTTAATTAATCTTTAAAAACAGTATCTCCCAGTATATCTAATAGTTAAACTTTGAAGTAATGATGGGTTTTGAGTGTCATTTGAGATCTGCAACAGTAACACATCATGAAAATATCTGTGATTTCTATTAGAAACAGTCTCTGCTACTGGGCCCCACATTTATAACGGACAAAAATGTGTAAATAAAGATGTAACTTTTTTCCCTATTCAAGTTCACAGATTGTTTTAAAACCCAAATACACAAAGAACTATGCTTATTATATTTTTTAGCTCATTGTTAAATACTTAATAGCAATAATAATGTACTTTTGCTTATTTAATGACATGTGATTCCCTAAGTGAAGCAAAAAAGACAAGAATTTTTAGCTCTGTTTTGTAAAAAAAAAAAAAAAAAAAATGAAGACCAAAAGCAAGCACACGGGTAGTAAATGGAAGTATCTGTACAATGCTCACTCTTCAGCCACTTTACCTACATTATCTAATACTCCTCCTAACTGCCCTTCCTCCCTCTGCCCAAGGTAAGCAGCACAATCCCTCTTCTTCCAACAAGGAAACTGAGATTCAGGTGATGGACTTGCCCCAAGTACTAGGGCTGGTGTTAGAGGTCCTTTCGTGTCTCAGTCCCATGCTCTTCCGGGTACCCTATTCTGCCTTTTTCTGACATCATTTTACACAAGCTCACCCCAATTACCAGAGCTTTTCAAGAAGTTAAAGCTCTTCCTCTGTTGTCTTCAGGTCAAAAAAACCACCTTTGAAGATGCTGTTAAGTGCACATTAACACTGGTACAATCACCCCTGTAAGTTAATTTCCTGTAAGAGTGATGAGCAGTTCTAAATAAGGTATTAAGTACTTGCTTACATAAGAACTGACTTTTGTTCAAGGAAATAAAATATTCAACATTTTTCAGCAATATATACATGCTACTGAAAATGCAAAGCAAATCTCTAGAAACTTAAAAACAAATATAAAGCAGAAAGCAATGTTTCACGCTGCATTTAAATTCTTTTCTAAAAGAATTTTGTAAATTTAAAAGAAACACCATACCTGTATTGTTTCCTAAGAGAGTTAAAAAAAAGACAAATAAAACATCACCACTTACAAAAATTAATTTTAAATGCTAAAAGGTAAGAAAGCTAATTCAATCTACATTTAACGAAACATCAAAAATTCATACAATAAATGTTTAAAAATGAAAAATCAAACACAGGTTCATGTGAGTCACCTAGGTAGCAGGAAAGAAAAAAAAAAAAAAACCTCAAACTGACCTGAGGAATTCTCACAATTCTACACTTTTTATGTCTTGAAACACCAGATATTACTGTATCTTATTTTCAAAACATAATAAAGTCAAAATGTTTCTTAAATATCTAAAATTAGACAATATTCTCTCATGCAGACACTAAGGCTATATGGCAATTCTATCATTAAGCTTCTAACCTCTGAAATATTCAATTCCCCTTTTGAGAAATCGGAACGGTGCCCGCCTTACAGGAGGGCCTCAGATGTTTGTTGACTTTGTTGGTGAATTAAGCTTACATATAATATTCACTTGAATTTTGCTGTTAATTATCATCAAGGGCAACATTCTGCTGATGTTTTATGTTGTAAAATGAGCAAACTAATATGCAATAGGCTACAAGAGACAATAACCATGAACCTGAAAAAAAACAAACTCCTCCCCAGTAGGTCTCCCAAATTCAGGGAGGCCTTTATGACCTTTACTTAAGACTCCTTCAATCTCATTTAATTTGACAGTCAAATTAAATTTAAAGGCTAGAAAAGCTGACACATTTAATAATAATGATAATTATCATGCTGCTTGCTAATTAAATGAAAATACTAAGCACTTAGGGTAAACAGTCATCCCCTGGTATCCACAGGAGACTGCTTCCAGGACGCCCCCTGTAGATACCACAATCTGTGGATGCTCAAGTCCCTTACATAAAATGGCACACAGACACACACACACACACACACACACACACACACACACACACACACACACACTGTATCTGCATATAACCTACATACATCCCCCATATACTTTAAGTCATCTCCAGATTACTTATAATTTAGTGTAAATAAATGCTATGTAAATAACTGTAAAAACAATGTAAATGGTATATAAATAGTTGCCAGCATGTGACAAATTCAAGTTTCACTTTTTGGAACTTTCTGGAATTCTTCTCCTCAAATATTTTCAAGGTTGTCGGTACCCACAGATGAGGAGTGTCAACTGTACGACCAACTCCGCTTAATAACCAAACTAGGGTTTTTTACAGTTTTTCTAAACCTAGGGTCTAGAAACAGCTTAAATATCAAGAGTTCTCATAATGGCTAATAAAGTTTAATCCGTTCCACACACTCACTAAAAGCCAAAGGGTGATCAGAAGCAATTAACCACGGCTGAGATTTCCTGTTTCCATTCTCCCTTTTACTGAGGGTCCTTCCATTACACTTGTACTCAATTTATTCTGAGTACTACCAGGATTTTTGGTTACAAACACCTAGTCTGGTTAACTTATCAAAATGTTATTAGTTAATTCACAGAAACAGTTTTTTTTTAAGTACAGAACAAGAAACAACCAGAATTCACATCACAGATCGTGCTTAGAACACTGTTGCACTGACCGTAAACTCCAGTTCACACACACACGAGCTTAAGAACGTAACATAACACAATTTATGGTACACAAAATGGCACATCTGTATTCCTGTTAAAGTGTGAACTTGTCATCTTAACAAATGAAGAGAATATCTAGCATATGATCATAAATGCGTGAATGGATGAATCATCCCTTTAAAGCAGGGGTCAGCTAACTTTTTCTGTAAAGGGCTAGGTTAAGTAAACTTTCTAGGTTTTGCCGGCCGCCGGCCATAGTCTCTGTTGCAACTCTTGTTGCAGCTCAACAGCAACCACAGATAATATGTAAACAAATGAGCTATCATGTGTTCAAATAAAACTTTATTTACAAAAACAGGTAGTAGGCTGGATTTGGGCTACAAACCAGATTGCTGACCTCTACTCCAAATGGTTAACAGTAAAGAGCGTATCATTTTCAAATAAATCAAGTTTACTAGAACTCAAAAGTTTCTTATTTCTATGTATATAAACGGTGTAGAAAAGTAGAAAAGAATCTATTCCTATGCATTAGATCACTTGATGTTAAAAAAAAAGTCCAGTTACCTTATATATATATAACCAGCCTCTATAAAAGGTAATTTAGAATTCTGCCAAAAGGTAATTGATATTACAAAGAAAAAAATACAAAACTTTGTGAATTTTCAAGGATTTCTATACATACTGGTTATTCAAATAAAAAAAAGAATTTGACACAACATTGTAAAATGACTATAACTCAAAAAAAAAAAAGGTTTTTTTTTAAAAAAGGAAACTAGATAACTCCTACATGAATTACCCCCTCTCTTCCAGGAAGCTTGAAGCTAGGATTCATTATTAAATGGAATCAAGACATAAAGAAGTGAATCGTATGGACCACATTTCCTTTCCAAACAGTCCCCAGGTACAAAGCTTCACATATCATATGGATATTTCACTACTCAAAATCATAAACCCTTTTTTAAAAGACATCATTTTTCAGTGTCAATTATATACCACATCCTACGAACAAAAAGTGAATTTTACCTTCAATCGTTAATCAAAAAATTTTGCATTATGTACATAAACACTTTTGAGATTACAGGAAATTCCATTTTTATTTCATTCAAATGATGAAAATCGTAGAACTATTACCCAATACTCAACACAGTAATAAATCCCCTTTCAATGTTTGTTACAAAATAACCTTATTTTTATAGAAAATAAGAGAGATAAAGTATATGATAGCCTTGTATACATACTGGCATTTTCTATATACTACAAGGAATGGCTAACAGCAATTACCTCTGAAAATAGGACTGGGAATGAGGCTGGTGGGGAGGCGGCTCTGGGAAGGGAGGCGGACTTTTACTTTTCCCTTAACATCTTCAAAGTTTTTTAACTTTGTCATGAAGTGTATTACTTTTATTAAAGTTTTAAAAAATGATTTAAAACATATGTTCCATATAAATTAACACTGGAAAAGAAAATACACCAAGGACTAATATGAACAGGAAAGGCAGGATTTTACTGAAAGAGGCTAGAAACTGAGGAACACTCGGGGGTCAGACTGGCCACTTCTGCCACCCAACAGGTGAGCATATACTTACTGCAAACGTTAGGAAAGTTCCTCTGAAGGGCTTTTAACGGGTTTAAAATAACCTTGTAAAAGTGGAGTCTACAGCAACCCAATCCAGTCCCACTGAATCGGGAACCCCAGGGGTTAATACCAGGGTAGTCAGAAGTGCCCCCTTGCTCTTGCTCTGCAGGAGGTCCAAGCCACCCGAGAAACGGTGACTTCCTTGACTTTCCAGATTTACAGCAGCAGCATGAAATTATGATAACCATACCCTACCAAGTAAGTTCACCAACATAGCTATCTTCACAGTCTTAACAGAACACATTTTTTTAGGCTTTGTTCTTTAGGAAATATTGGTTAAAATTTGCCATTTTTTCAAGTGTAAGTTAAAATACATAGTTAAAAATGGATGGAAAAAACAAGACTCCCATCATCATTCAAGATTTTAGACTCTGTTACATTAAACTACATATAGATTATATTAAAAAGGTTGAGAACTGAAATTGAGATAAAAATAAAGACTTCCATTTCAACAGCCTGCCAAAGATAAAAATAATAAAATTCAATTCTGCTCTTGGGAACAGTGAACCCAAAAAACAAAACAAAACAAAAAAAACCCTTCATCCCCTCCCTGAGACTACTGAGAGTTAGCAAGAAACAGAGAGAACAGCAGTCTGTCATTTCTCACCACAACAGGAAAAAGAACAACCAATTTAATTTTCAGTTAAGTAACACAAATGCCCAAAACAAAGAGCAGACTCAACATACTTTCCCCACGCCGAGGTTAATTACATTTAATTTCTGAGCCTCTCCGACATGCTCTTCCATGTTTGGGAGTATGGGAGTGAACAAAAACAGTGTATAATCCATAAGGGCAAGAATTTATAACACTGCTAAATGCCATAAATTTTGTCTCATTTAACTAAAAACTGTAAAGAACTCCAATGCATATCTATTCATTCCTTATTAATAATATATTAACTGTGTATTAAATCCCATTCTATATTAAAAAAGTGATTAAGCAAAAGAACAAAGTCAGTGCAATCCTTTTTACAGCATACCATTATCTCCAAAAGGAGTGCTGACTATATTTTGCCACGTTTGAGGTAATTATGAGTCTCTGGAAGATAAAGCCACTGGTGAAAGCAATGTAATCCTGAAAAAAAATTTTTTTTAAATGCAATCCTGAATATTAGCCTCTCTTCTCAAATCCAATAACACTGTTTTGGCAAGTAGATTAAGCCATTATTTATCCAGCAAAATGAACGGGACAATTGTTCATTCAGAGCTCCGTCCGAAATATAAAAGTGTTTAGTGTTCTCTAAAAAAAAAAAAAATGGATGCTCCGTAAACAATAGGTTGCAATGTCTATGTCCAAGTACTCGTTTTTCATATTAACCCTTATTTTACGTTTTCACATGTACATCACGGCCGTCTTGGTGCCACAAAATCGCAACCGTATTTTAAAATTTACCTCTGATGAAGTTGACTTTTAACACATTTCCAACCTCATTAATAACCACTCCTTAAGGGGGGAAAAATACTAAATACATGATGTGAATGGTTAAAGAACCATACCACATCTGCATAGGAAGTGATGTGATCTATTCAAACTGGAATAATGTCCTGCCACCACCCACTCCTTTCAAAGTTAGCCTGGGAATTGAGTTCACAATCCTTTAAAGAAAGGGGGGGGGGGCTGTAACGTACTCAACTTGTCTAGCGGGGTCGAAAATACTCAATCAGGCTGCCTCAGAGGAAGGCCGGAGAAAGTTGCGGGGCCCGAGGCCGCCTGCAGCAGCGGCAGCAGCAGGTAGAGCGGGGCGGCCCGACCGCCGCCCACGCCGCGCAGGTGCGGGTGG